TGGCTTAAAACTCATGCTGAGCACATGTTCATCCATGCCCAAGATCCCAAGAGGAGAATGGAGGAGGAGGGATTGCAGCATGGCCATTACCCCTGACCCCAGTAATTTCTGGCTTTCTGTCACTTTCTCTTTGTCTCCAAGGCAAGCACATGCACCCTATAGCAAAAATCTCTGTATAAAAATGAATGAATAAATAAAATAATGCAAGAAATCCTCCAATAGCTTCTTAGCTTTCTCAAAGTTATAATCAGAATTCTTCCAAGCATCTACTCCAATCTGCATGTTCAGAGCCCCTCGTATTGCTCTGAGCTCATTGCTCTCAAAGAGTAGCAATTGAGAATATATAGTCCTTCAAAAAGATTCCCAGATACTTCGATTTTCTTTTTCAAAATGGCCAGAAAGTAGTATTTGAAGACAAAAGTAGTTCTATTTGCCTTCTAAACCTTCTAACTAACCCTTTATTGGTTTAGAAAAACTCCTGACAATCCTGCTAGTTAACTTAACCCCATGTCACTTACTGAGTAACAGAACAGACTCTCCAATTTCTGTTGAAGCTGAGCATAGTCGCCATGTCCTCATCACTCAATTTAAAGTCAAAGACCTGAAAAGTTGAACATTCCAAACCATCATTGGCAAGGTAATTCCTGGTGTGATGTGAGATATCCAGACTTTCCAGCAGAAGTGAACTCACATACACAGCATTAACTAGCCATAGGAGTGCTCCCATTATGTCCCCAAGATACACAATTCTCTCTATTAGGTTCCATAAAAAGGCTATTGTATTTTGAGGCTTTAGAGTTTCAAAGGGAGGGAGAGCAAGAATATAGACACCAAACTACAGGCACATACAGTGTCTATGCTCCCTTAATGGACACAGGGGCTCTCTCTCTCAGAGGGCAAGACTTCAAATACAGCCCATACCTTTTCTAATACTGGAGGTGGACATTTTGGCAGGGCAGCCTGCTGTTGATATGGTTCTTGACCTAACTTTTTAGGTACAACCAATTGTCTTTTAAGTGGTGTGGGGCACAACTGTACTTAGCCCTGACTAACTTTTCTAGTCATTGAACCCCACAAATCTCCTAGTCCATCAGTCACTCATCCTAGTTCTACTGAGGTTAGTTCCCTGGCCTGAGAGATACAGGGTGGTAGGAAGGGGGTAGAACCCACAGACAATGCAGGGATGGCATGAAAAAACTAATGGGAGGGTTTCCCTTGGCCCCCACTCCTCTGGTCAACCAAACACAATCTTACCTGAAAGTTCTCAATAATGCGTTTTGGTGTCACAGACTTAGGGATCACAGCCACATTCCTCTGGATATGGAACCGGATCAGAACCTGCACAGAAAGAACCATCATAATTTCACTTACTATGAGGTCCTTTCCTTCTACTGAAAGGAAAAAAATTAAGTATCTGCAGCTCATTCTGGCTTGAGGTACACCAGCAAAACTGAGGGATCTGAACCCAGACCTCTAGATTCCAAAGTCAGGCTCTTGTCACTGGGCTATTAAGCTTAACAGGAAACTGTTAAAGGTGATCTTTATTTCAGTGATCACCATTGTATTTTCTGAAAGTCCCTGCAGGCTTTCAAGGAAGCATATTAGTGGGCTTCATATCCTGTTTTCTTCCCCTTTAAAGAGTTAAGTGAAGCTAGCACAAGGAATAAAACACAAGACTGGAAGAACCGATTGCTCAGTAAAAAGAAGAAAATAAAACAAACTAAACTAAAAACATGGTACCTGGGCAGTGCTTTTCTTGTACTTTGCAGCAATCTCCGTAATCTTAGGATCTTCTAGTAGAGAAGGGTCCTCTGGCTTAGCCCTAGAGGCAGAAAGAGGGCTGATGTCAATAATCATGATGGTTACCACACACAGATGAGCACCTCCAGTGGCATCTCAAGGCTGATCATCACAACCTTCTCCATCTGAAAGACTGTCAGGACCAGCAGTTGGCGTAATGGCTATGTCGCTGGACTTCCATGTAGTCGACCGCAGTTCGAGTCCTGGACCCG